CAGCATATTTTTTCAAACTGAGGGAACTGAAGAAAAATTGAAGTCTTGACTTGCAATATTGAAAGATTTTATGGGCAAAATATAGAACGATATAGGAAGCATCAAAAGACGATGAAGGAAACACAGTCACTGTACCAAAAGGAAATGGTTGATTTCAAGAGGTAGACTATGATCAAGAGCCAAAGATACTCGAGTAGATCTATGCACACCCATGTTCATAGCAGCACTATTGACAATAGCAAAAAGATGGAGACAGTCTAAGTGCCCATTCACTGAAAAATGGATAAACAAACTATGGTACACACACAGGATGGAGTATTATGCTACCTTGAAGAACAACAAGGAAGCTGTAAGTTATCACATAACATGGATGAACCTTGAGGACATTATGTTGAGTGAAATTAATCAGTAACAAAAGGAAAAATACTGCACAGGACCACTACTATAAAAGATTAAGATAAAGAACCCAAACTAAAGGCGGGGGAGGGAGATTCATTGTTGGTTACCAGGATGTGGGAGGTGGGTGAGGGGAGTTAAGGGAAGGTGGAGCATAGGACAGGGGAACGATATAGGATAGTTTGGGTGCCAGGGAGGGGGGCAATACACAAGAAGGGAGAGGGGAATGGAAGAACAAGGCAGATGGGAAAACAATTAGGCAGGTTTGCATGGACTAAGCGAGACAGAGGTAAATAATGATGTATGCACAACCTTGAAACAACAGGGCTTTGGGATACAAGGATTGAGACAGGGTTGGAATGGGCAAAAGGGGGGAAATAATGTTAAGATGCTTGGCTGTCTTTTGAATCTTGGTTATCTTTTGCACAGCATTATAAAGCACGACATTTGCAGGGTAAAGAAAGGAATAGCCAGAAATATCACCATAGAAAGAAAGCTTGTAAGTCTGTCTTCTGCCCATAACTGATTGGAATACCTAAAATGGGGCTACAACGTGCCCAGTGAAGGAGGCTTCCTGCAGAGCCTGTGCATTACATAAGACCATAGATGGAATCCTGAACAGCATGCAGAATCTTCTGAGGTGGGAAGTCTGCACTGGAAAGGACAAGCAGCCCAGCCTGGAGTGGCTGGAAGAACAGAAGACACTTCTTGAAAGACCGACAGGAGAAAATAAAAACAATAACGGCAGTCCGACTGACTATAAGAAAAAGCAAGTAACTCGCCCAGGAGACGTCAAGGCAAGTGGTCGGGTCCCTCAGGGCAAACTCCCTTCCATGACTAACACTCAATGGGAATACGCGCTGTGATTGGTGACCACATTCGTCACCGATAAGGGGAAGTGAGGGAACAACAGCAATGAAGCTGCAAGCTAAGTCCTACCACGTTCAATAGACTCCTATGAACCCGGGTGAAGACCTGGTTGGCCAGCAGTGTGGCAAGACCTGGGGACTCCTGGGCCCAAGTCAGTGACATAGCCATAGAGGACTAGAGTGGAGAGTGAAGCATCCAGCTGATAAGAAGAGAGGGCATATGCGTAAGAACGCCCACACTTGTAGATAATACCCACTTGACCTGGCTTCAATGACTGGATGATCAGAGCTCAGCTACAAGAAAGAAGAGGAGAAAAAAAAAAGAGGAATCTGATACAATTTATTGAACCTGACCTACATCTATGGATGCAGCAGCTTAAAAGAGGGAACAAATCTTTACAGCGAGGATCATTCCCACCCTCCTCTCCATACAAAGGGTAGACAGGGATGGGTAACATGGACATTGGCTACCCAAAATGGGGGGTGGGGGTAGGGCTACAAAGGCAAGAAGTGACTGGCTTACAAGCTTTGAAGAGGGAGCCTAGATCCAGAGGGCACGGAGGAAGGTAGAATCTCCACTGAGTATCCAATCTGTCTGGGCGGGGATAATGAAAGGAGGTGGGGATAGGTTCCTTGTGATACAATGGTGAATAATTGCTATCAGGACCGACTGTGAGGGCTGGAAATGTAAAGGTAGACATTCTGTAGGAAAAGGAGGGGAGTGATATACTTTGCAGTCCAGGAGCTGAGGTCCCTGGGACCATGAAGGGAGAAGAGCAGAGTGTGGGACCCTACCCAGAGAAGCAGTGACACCAGAGATAGAGGCCGACATGATGACATGGAGAGATGGAGTGGCTGAGGACTCTAGAGCCAGAGAAGGAGAGGGGCTGTGTGCTGATCACCGGAGGGAAGGCTTGCAGGGTGTACACTTTGGGTGGTTGATGACGCATGGAGGGGTTTGTAACCATGGCAGTGAAGTGATATACGATAGGATGAATGTAAGGCTAACGTTCTCCCAGGTAAACTATCACATAATCCACAATAAAACAGTAAAATAAATAAATAAATAAAGAGCCAATGATACTAAAGGAAGCAGTCCAAGGTGCACTAAAAGACACTGGCGTAGTGTAGGGGGCAGGTTTGTAGTGTATACCCTTTGGTTGGTTTATGATGCTTGGAGGGGATTGTAACCATGGCAATGAAACGATATACGATAGAATGAATGTAAAACTAATGTTCTCCCATGTAAACGATCATCTAACTCACAATTAATCATTAAAAAAAAAAAAAAAGACACTGGCAAAGAACAAGGCTCTAGGAATTGATGAAATGCAAATCAAAATACTTCAACAAAACTCATGCAGCACTGCAGACTGTCACTCATCTATGTCAAGAAATCTGAAGACAGCTATCTAAACAACTGATTGGAAATGATCCTATCTGTGCGCATTCCAAAGAGGTGACGCGACAGAATGTGGATATCATCAGAAAATATCATCAATATTACATGCAAGTAGACTTCTGTGAAAAGAGAATTCAAAACCGGCTGCAACTGTACATTGACAGAGAACTGCTGGCTCAAGCTGGATTCAGAAGAGGACGTGGAATGAGGGATACCACTGCTGACGTCCGATGAAACCAGAGGCTACCAGAGAGATGGCTACCTGTGCTTCATGGACTATGCGAAGGCTTTCAACTGGGTGGACCATGACAAGCTTTGGACAACAGTGCAGAGAATGAGTACTCTGGATCACTTAACCGTCGTGCTCATGAGCAAACTGTACATAGACCAAAAGACGAAAGAACACTGAACGGTTTAAAATGAAAAGATGCGTGTGCCATGGTTGCACTCTTTCATCACAGTTACACAATCAGTATGCTGATTATATGAAGAAGAACATGGCATCAAGATTGGAGAAAGACACATTAACAACCTGCAATATACAAATGATACAATCTTGCTTACTGAAAGCAAAGAGGATTTAAAATACTGATGAAGATCAAAGACCAGTCTTTGGTATGGGTTGCACCTCCACGTAAAGAAAACAAAAATCCTCACCATTGGACCAATAAGTAATCTCAAGATAAATGGAGAAAAGATTGAAGTTGGTGGGGAACAATAGTAAAGGTACCATGGAGGACTGACAAATGAACAAACCAATCCGTGGTGTAAGGAGTACAGCTCCACAGAAGCCAGGATGGCCAGACATACTATCAGGAGGGATCAGTCCCTGAAGAAGGATATCATTCTCGGTAAAGTGGAGGGTGGGAGAAAAAGTGGAAGACCCCCCCCCCCACACACACACACACGATGAGATGGACTGGCACAGAGGCAGCAGTACTGAATGTGAGGTTGGGGCAGCACAGGGCACTGTTCTTTCTGTTACGCACAGAGTCGCTATGAGTCGCTACCAACCCAATAGCACATAACAACAACAATATAAACACACTCAAATCGTTACAAATAACTATTCTATTCTAGTGAAAAGGACTTTCAAAGTTAAGTAAACACAGAAATGTTCAAATCCTATACTATAAATGAAATATAAAGAGATTAAAAAAGCAGACTTGGAAGAAGTATCTATGCATGCCTGTAGTGTAGATATGTGTCCATATGTGCCTGTGTACATGATTATATTTGTGCAGGCCTACATGCAAGTATATCTGAACAAGCCTGTGAACATGGAGCATCTCCTCTAAGAATGTCTGCTCCGTGAGTGCATCTGTGTACCTACGTACATGTGTACCTATGCATTCCTGTGTATGTGTGCACCTGTGCATTCTGGTATATGTGTGTGTGCCTCTGCAGGTCTTATGTACAACACAGGTGCACGTGTGTCCCTGTGCGTACCTGTATACGCGTGTGCTGCATGTACCTGTCAGCATGGGTGCGCCTGTGTACGTGGTTCTGTGCATGTGGGTGCTGTTGTTGTTATATGCTGTCAAGTCGGTTCTGACCCACAGTGACCCTGTATAGAGAGGGTTTCTGAGGAGCAGCTGGTGCCCTAGACCCACCGACCTTGCGGTTCAAAGTGACTTTGCAATCTAGCGCATTAGCCTGCAGCGCCAGGCCAGAGCTGTGCAGGTGTATTAATACACCTGCCTAAATCTGGGAAAAGGCTGGGAAGATGCACCAACATGGCCGTCAAGGATGGCTGCCACAAGCGGACAGTAGAAAAAGTAAGTTTTGCATTTGTAAGAAACCTTTATTTTGTGAGCTTATCAGAAATTTCTAAATAAAAATTGCCAGAGTAATAAATACTACTTCTGGTGCCATGGTGAACTCTTCATTCTCGGGTGTTACGGTGATGTGGAACTCCAGGGCCACCATATGTATCCGCTTAGGGCAACCAATAGGTATCCAGGGCAGTCGAAGTTCACAGTCCCAAAGAAATGAACCCGACATGAGAGAAGAGAGGGGCAGGCGGAAGCAGGATCTCAGCTCTGAAATCAGAGCAGTGGGCGTGATTAGGGCCCAGGAGCACTGACCCACAGCTTCCGAGGAAAAACATGGAACACACTAGGCACTCCTTTGTCCACACACAGGACAGTGTGGCGCCACAAGTCACAAAGCGCAGTCCCAGACCTGGTGACCTTGGTATTTATAACAGATTCTCAGTCATAGTGAGTCGACCCAATGCCAATTCTGAAGTGGTGTCTTCTTGGTTTCTGCAATGCAGGAACGACAATTCAGACACAGGAGGACACACAGTGCTCACAGCCAGCCACTCTCACCTTCATTACAAGCGAGATGGGCGAAGAAGGCGATCACCTGCACAGTCTTGCCCAGACCCGCCTCGTCCGCCAAGATACCGTTGAGCTTCTTCCTGTAGAGCTTGGCCAGCCAGTCCAGGCCAATCTTCTGGTAGTCTCGGAGCACCCCGTACAGCAGGGATGGGGTGTTAAACTTTACCTGCAGTCACAGAGACACCAACAAGCACTTCCTATGAAAGGGGCCTTCTCAACAAGGACATCTAGTCAGTCATCGGGTAAACCCATAGAAAACTGTCATGAGTAGGCATTTGTTCCTGACAAGCTTTCTAGATGGGGACAAAGAGCTTTTGTGACATGACAGGGAGCAAATCTGACCTCACTACTTACAAACATATTCGCTCCCCACTTTAGAACCACGAGACACCATTCCACATTGTGACAATGAAAACCTAAGTAATGTTGGTGAGGATGTGGAGAAACTGGAATCCTCAGGCACTGCTGGTGGGAACGTAAAATGGTTTGGCCACTGAGGAAAAGTGGCACTTCCTCAAAAAGGAGAAGTGTCCCATGACCCAGCAACTGCACTCCCAGATAAGACACGAAAGAAATGAAATAGGTTAAACGCACCCTTGTACACTAGTGCTCACAGCTACAGTAATCACACAGCTCAAAGGGGGAAACAGCCTAAGTGTCTGTCAACTGACGCATAAATACAGTCTTCCTATGCGACGGGATGGTATTCAGCCACAAGAGGGAATGAAAACCTGACGCACAATCCAAGTCCACATGCCCATGACTATACTCCTATGAAATGTCCTGCACGGGTAAACTGAGAGAGCGCAAGCCGACTTGGGTGCCAGGGCAGTGGGAGTGGGTGCTTCCCAGGGATGGGGTGGCCTATTGAGATGCTGAGAACGTCTGGAGGTAGACAGAGGTGGTGGTGGTATGCCACTGTGAATGCACTCAACACCACTCGATCATCCACTTGTAAATGGTCATTTTGATGTTGTGTGATTTTCACCCCAGCTGAAGGACAGAACAGAGCCCAGGGCCTCACCGGGGTGATGACCCTGGCACTGCCCTTGGGCAGGATGGCCTCCGCCACAGCGGTCACTTCTGCAATGTCTTTCGTGTTGGGTTTGGTGACGTTCATCCTTTCGGCAGCCTTCAACTGGTCCATGATGAACAGGGAATCTATGAGGACCAGATCCTTCCGACTCTCCCTGTCACCTGGGCCACCATCCACATCTACAGAAAACAACACAGCAAACGGTATCAGATTGCTTGGGCCACTGACCCTCAGAGAGGATAGAGCAAAAGCACTGGCAGTCCTGAAGCCTTCACATACACAAGACAGCGGCCACTGTAAGGGCTCCTGGATCTGGGTCCACCTACCAGTGCTCTCGGGACCACCACCGCCCCGGGCTGGGGAGCCTTCAAGTCTAGTGTGGCCCCACACAGCCTGATGATCAACAGCTGGCCCACCACCAGACGCTCTGTAGGTACGTGAGAGTTTGGGGAACTCTCAGGAAAGGAAAACTCACAGCTGTCTCTGCAGCACAGACCATGAGGAGATGGACTGTCCCTCACGTAGGCCCTGCCACCAGGAAATGCATCTGGAAGACCCCCTGCCCAGGACCTTCACTCACCTCCCCTATCCAGTCCCACATGCACGTATGAGAGCACGTCAAACAGTTCAAGGAAAAATTCCATGATCTTTTAGTTCTATTGTTCCTTGAACTTTCTGAAGCGTCCTCATAAGTCGAGTCAGTATTGTGGGAATGAGAACAAGGAGAAAGTGATCACTGGTGTCCTCTTGGTGAGGCATTCTGGGTGTTGTGTGTGTCTACATGAAAAATGGTGCCATGCAGAACCAGTCCAGTAAGAATAAATGTGATAAATATCTAAGGCCACAAAACAACGACTCTTACAAAAAAGCTGGAGAAAACAGCCTAATGAAGAGCTCTGAAGACGGACAGGGCTCTAGAAACATACCCTCTTCTTCGCTGGTCTCTTCACTGCCAGGTTTGGGCTGGGGCCACTGGAAGCTGGGCAGAAAGGCACCTTCATACAACTTCAACAAGTCCAGTAAGGGCAATTCAGCTGGAAAGGACCACAAGGACAGAGGTCACAGTTTGAAGAGGACAACAATCACCCAAGAAAGCTTAAAGGAAAAAGAGAAAGGCTGTTTCACATACTTATCTCCTCAGGGAAAGTTTACTTTCTAAAAGCACATCTATTTGTTCTAAAACTGAAAATGGTTGCCCACTGATAACACATAGTCCAGAGTATTTTCTTTATAAAGCAAGATGTAACTCTCTGAAATGAAAGAAGGAAATTCAATTTTTACTCATAGAAGAACAAATGTTTCTGAAATGACCTAACAGATGTAGCGTATAACACCGATGTTGTTGTGTGCCATCGAGTCAGTTCTGACTCACAGCAACCCTACACGGCGTTTCCGAGAGCAGCTGGCAGGTTTGCACTGCCAACCTTGTGGTTACTAGTCCTACAGTACCACACTAGGACTCAGTAGCACCTGTAAGCTAATAAATAAAAAACAAAACAAACATGAATGCCACCAACACAGAATAAAGGTGACACGTGGAAATATAAAACACGTCGAATAAGACGTTAGCAAACGACCACAAACTGCTCAAAATCAGGGTGAACCACTGTTACTTATTTTTATATAAAGAGTTCACTCGCCCCAACTGACAACACCCCAATCTCAACAAATAGAGACGACGGAGCCACCTCACCTTCATCCACAGTGTAGAGGGGCCAACACAGACCTCCAGAAACCAGACAGTATCCAGCTGATCCCTATCATGCCAAGAACCACCGTGACACCGTCACATGCGCTAACACGGAATCAGACACACTCTCTCAGTCCCTGTATGGGAACGAACTGGAAACCAAGGTGGAATGCTGAGGAGATTTAAAAAGTGAATATTCTTTGGCCTCGCTATTTCCTCCCTTAATGAATCTGTCCAGGAGAATAACCAGAAACTTGGACTCGCGTTCACAATCAAAGATGTGCCTTGTTATCTCTAACGGGGGGAACTGTCCTTTTAATTGATATGTACACTTCTGTATAAATAGTAGATTTCACTTCACTTGTAAAGAGTCAAAATACCCACTGCCGATGAGTTTACTTACTCACAGTGACTCCAGGAGAATGGAACTGACCCCACCGAGGATTTCCAGGGTGTCATCTTTACAGAAAAGACAAGCACGTCTTTTTCCCAGGGAAAAGCTGGTGGGTTCTAACCGCTGACCACTGATTATCCCACTGTGCCACCAGGGTCCCTTGATTCAAGATACGCGTCCCCCACAAAAATAATACTAAAGGCACTGTCCATTTGAGACTAAGGAAGACTGCCTGAATTCATTTGTCCATGAGTCGCAACCAAACAGGACTGATAGCTGGCAGAGAACTGCCCATTGTAGCATACAGGCATAGAAAAGGGTTCAATGTAAGATTCTTTCAACTCTTCTGTATGTCTGAATAGAAGGCATATAAACTCTTTGTTTTGTTAACTTTAAGTGCCTTTGAGTCAAGTGACTCTGTTTAGGGTTTCTGAGAAGTGGCTGGTGAATTTGAGCCCCCGACCTTGTGGTCCAGTGCATTATCCCACAGCATCACACCAGGACTCCATCTAAGCTATGGAACTACTAGAAAATGAAACAGGAAAATCTACAGAAAGGCTTTAGCAACAAGATGATTACGCAGAGTCTTAGAGCAAACTTTTCGAATGGGCTTCAACAGCCCACTCAGCAAGCAGAAGATGTAACGGAAGAGAAGACCTTGTTTAGACAGAGAAGTATCTAAACCTATCGAAGGCTACAGGACAAAGCCCGGGAGGCTCCTAGGGCCACACAGCGGTGTGGAGAGGAAAAGAGGCAGGTCAAGCAATGGGGGAGGAGACACTACCTCCAGGGTGACCCCAACCCCTGTGCACGGCAGCCAAAGCCCCCGGGCTGCTCAGAGACTGCACACAACACAGGAAGTCCACGGGGCGAGGAGCACAGGTGTCGCCTCCTACCTGTCAGGTCACATACCCAGACACAGGGACCACGCTGAGCATGGTTTCAGGGAACCATGTGCTGGGTCCTTGCTACCTAGATCCGCACACTCCTGCACTCCAGAGGATTCTAAAGAGCATATGGACATAAGCAAGTCAATGGGCACAAAAGAGGGAGCCAACACGTCAGCAGATGGGAATGAGGGATGAGTACTCTGACGAGAGACCACACAGTCAGGGTCTAAAGTCAGATGACTGAAGGCAGGGAGGCCGGCAGGAAATTCCAGGAGTGAGTGGGACTCAAGGCGACAACTGCGGGTGTTTCGGGACAAAACGGGTACCGCTGAGCACCAGTGATGACTAGCATCAGGCCACACGGTGCACTCAAGACACAGAGCCCCTACACTCGCTGCCCAAGGGGAAGCAGGCCAGTGACACCTAGTCTCTGAGACCTAAGACGCTGAGCAAAGGAAGAAGGGACTAGAGCTGCTGACACCACACGTAATGCCTGGTGGTGAGATGCTACAAGACAAGCAGAATGTAATCACAGCCACAGCTGCGTGGCCACCAAGCCCTCAGGGCCACAACACAGGAAAACCGCTCTATCCCTGCTTCACAGCTGAAGAAGCGTCACTGAGCTGAGAGAACGTGAGTACTGCGTTTCCACACAAACAGCACACGCATCACAGAGGCCTGAGCAAGTCTCCTACTAACGTGTACGTGCGCGTCATTCACGTGGACGTGCATGTACACAAAGTCAGTCACTGCGTCAGGGAGTGGGTAGCAAAGTGAGGTCGGAGCCGGCACCATAGACTCACTCCAGAAAGCACTCCCTCTAAAATTAACAAGGCAGAGCTGCCACCCTCGCCCCTTCTCACTCACCACTGAAACCACCATGACCCCGAATGGTGAAGAACCTCCTGAGGAAGAACAAGGCACTGGGACTTGGAAACTGGGGTATCAAGAATTCTTACAGAGCTGTAGTTATTCAGACAGTGCAGCATAGGAGCAAGACAGACAAAGCGACCCACAAAGCACCAATGGTTCCAGAAAGAGCCAGTCCCAGGAACATTCAGGGGCAGTACAGAAACGCTCCAGGAGTGGGGCAGACGCTGCCCACTCCAAGGTAAAGCCAACACCCACCCACACAGCCGTCTCCTCTACACTATAGGAACACCCAAGGGTCTACTAAAGTACAAAAAGCTTTCTTCAGCAACACTAACAACTTGCCAAACATCTAAAATTGCTCACTGAATGTTACCATCAAGACAACGGGTGAAGATTCTTGTGAAACATCTCACTGACACGGAAGCCACGTCTGGAACACAGAAAGAACATGCCCACCAAGGAGCAGAGAAACCCAACACGTGAAGGCACAAGTAAAGGAGGACCCTGACTTCACTGCTGTGGAGACGGGAACAAAGCCTGGCACTCGACTCTAAGAGTGGGTGTATGAGAGCCTGGCCACGCACGCACGCCAGCACGCTCTCCCTTGCACTGTGGTATCTGATGGCAGCAATTCTCAGCATGTCAATGACAGCCTACCTTCTTTGGCTAAATGAGACAGCTCTGCCTGGTGATCCACCACCCCTTCATTTGCTTCTTCCTCTTCAATGGTCTCCTCTTCATCGTCCACTAAAACAGGCAGCATCAAATGTCAACAAAGATGTCACGTGATCCTCTTTTTTTTTTTGATACTTTTTATTGTGAATCGAATGAAGGTTTATAGAGCAGATCATCAGTTGTACACAACAAATCCTACTGCTTCATCTCACTGATTTCAGTCCCTTCTTGTAACAAGTTAGCCCACTTCTGTTTGTGGAGCTGTTCTACCCTAACCCTTCCCAACCCTCTCAATTCTGTCATCTCCAACAGGTGACAATCCCATGGGGAAGCACATCTTACACACGTTGTTGTCCCCTCTTACCTAGCTCCTGCTTGACAAATAATTGAGCCACAAAAGTGACGTCCATTCTGGACCTGAAGGATGGCCACAGGCCACAGCCTTGGGTTCCTTCCATCTCCTTCTGACCAGTAAGCCTAGCTTTCTATTATTATTATTATTTATTTTTTTAATAATTTTGAGTTTGGTTCCACATTCTCATCCACTCTCTCCAGGCCCTCCTAATGTGACCCCTTTCAGAGCAGTCGGGGCCGCACTCAGGCACCATGGGCGTTCCTCTGAGCTCACTCCACTGGACTTACTGATTCCAAGTCTCCTCTATTTGTATCGCTCTTCTTTCTTCCACACATGGAAAGACTAATGACTGCACTTTAGATGGCCGGTCATGAGCTTTTAAATTCCCACTTCCTACTCACAAAAGTAGGCTGTAGAACATTGTCTTTATAGACTATGTTATGCCAACTGACCATGGTATCCGCCAAGAGTATGGTCCCAAGTCCCCAGGTACGGCATAACTTGTTGCCTCAAGGTGTTTGGTAATGTCTAAGAGGTTTTCATCATTTTGTCTCCTGTATGCTTTACCACATTCATAGATGTCTTTACAGCAAACACAGTTATCTATCGTCTGTGTAAACCTTACATGTTGGTGGAGATACTCCCATTCTCCCATATGGGACGCTCTGTTCAGTTACTCGTTAAGACTACACAGTCTCAGAATCACTATACGTAAGCTATAGGGATTACAGAGGCGCACACAAGCTCCGACGGTGGCAGCTCATCAGGGAGCAGTAGCTGAGAGGATGCTCTTCCCTGCACCAGGCAGCATGCACACAAGCCCGGCTCTGTCCTCAGAACCCAACATTGCCCACACCGACCCTCTCCTAACGAGCAGTGACCCAGAAATGGACTCATTGGGACCATTGGGACTCACTGCTACGAAAAGAAGCAGTCGCCTACGCCTGGCCAAGTGCATGAGGGGGACACTAGGCAAGGTCAGGACGAACGGGGATGCCCAGGCCTCTAACTCTCATCAGTCACGGCTGTCTCGGTTTTTCCTGTCACATGCAGATCCCAATCTTCACGGGCACATTTATCATGCCAACCAAGGGGCTAACATTCCCAGTAAAGACTCAATAAGCACCAACACAGGCATCTCTGAAAACGTGAAAATATAACTGATGCTGTCAAGATCAACCAACAAACACTGGTGGTGGTAGGACATAGGTGGCACCTGGACAGGGCCCCACATTCACACATCAAGCACTGCCCCAGCCTTCTTAGCTCTGCCCTCGCTCCCACTTGCAGGTGAGGAGATGGTGCAGGCTGACAGCATAGGTAGGAGCTGTGGGTCACTCACATACCAACAGTGGGGCACACTGGCTTTCATCCACGGATGCTGCCCATCAGGAGGCCTAAGAGCGTCTCCTGAGGCAGCCCACTCAGCATGTGCCCTGCAGTATCCTGCACAGACCCCTGGCCTGACATCCTCCATAACTTCCCTCAAAGGCAGCACCTGCATGGTGACCCAGACACCCCCAAGATGCATCTATGTTTCCCACCCGCAGATCCCACCTGGTAGCTCAGATCAAGTCCTCTGGAGACCTAATGAAACAGTCTGTGTCCTGAGAGACTGGGGAGGAGGGCCACAGTAGGGATTCCAGCTGGTCCAGCTCACACTTGTGTGCCAGTACCGCTGTGAGCTGACAGAACCTGTAACCAGGAGAGTCAGCACCAGGGACAGGGAGCAAAGGGTGTACAGACCTTCCTCGTCAGTTAAAGACGCACTGGCTCTCCGCTCTCTTCCAGACACACCTGAGTCCTGAAAGCAAGAAGGTCACATGACCTCAGAGTCCCACCAAGGCCACCTGGCTCCCGCCCTTGTCACATAACATGCGATCAGATAAACTGTGAAACCACTCTGCCTTCATGGGCTTGAACACAACCATTTGAGCAGTACGTTCTCAGTGAAGGTATGGGGGAATGTCACAGCCTTGTCTGACACACAAGGATGCCTATACACCTAGGAGTGCTGTAAAGTACGCACTGGGGTGCTAACCACACGGCCAGTAGTTCAGGGCCCCCCGAAGCTCTGCAAGAGAAAGATGAAGCTGTCTGCTCCCGTAAAGGTTTATGGTCTCAGAAACCCTACAAAGGGTTACTCACTTTAAGTCCAAATAGACTCATTGGCAGTGGGTTTGGTTTTCTGGTATCTTATACACAATGTACCTTCGAAACCTGAGGGGGAAACACCTGTCTCTAGGATGCACTGAAAAGCACAACAGGAGTCACACTGCCATCGTCTCACATAAAAAGGAGATGTTTACATCCACACTGTGTTCTGCTGTGTCCTCCCTAATTCCCAGGGCAGCCTACAGATAGGGGACCCCCCGTTTCCTCGTGACAGGGCCTGAAGTCCCTGGTCTCCATGGTTCACTCCACACGAACCCGAGCGTCCTCAGTGCACAGTCACTGCACTCACCAGGAAGTGCTGTGGGAACACCACCTCCAGTCCTGGCGGCCTCAGCTCTGCTCCTAAGGAGACAGGCGCACCATTAGTTCCAGCAAGTGGGAGGCGTGGGATCCTCTGCGCACGCAGTCCCGCCCTGCCTACAGAGCCGCTCGCACTTTGTCCTCCCTTCCAGTGACATCTCCCCAAGGGAGACAGGCAGAGTGGGTAAATGGTACAGGCCTTCATCTTACAGGTGCTACCACGGCCCACAGCGTCCCTCAGCCCCCACCCGACTTCCCCACAGACTCAGGCCCACCCCTCAGGGTTGTTCTGATCCCTCACCACACCTCCAAGGTGCTAAGGGACAGGGCAGCTGAGTGGACATGTCTACAGAAAAGGTGGCTAGGAGGGGCATGCCCAGCCACTCTCCACTGTCCACCACATTGTCCCGACTGTCGCAGACAGCTTCACACCTCATGTCAGCGTGTCTAGAGCTGAAAGACGTGCAGGTCTTATACATGATGTACCCATCCTAGCAAACTTCACAAGAACCCAATGATCAGACTGTAATTTCAGTGCAGTTATTTCCAGCAAGAAGCACCACTACCAGGCTGACCAGATGCCAGGCACCGGTGGTCCTCAAGCCCCCAGTCACCAGCTCTGACACAGAGGCCACCTGGCCATAGGGACCTGACTATATACAGACGATACCTTCACAGGGCTGCCCATCCACAAGGGCCCACCAATCATGAGGCCTGACCAGCGTCTGCCCAGTCTGTACCCCCACAGTGACACCAGCATGCCCTCAGCAGGCATGACCCTGATGGTCCCTTCCCTGTAGCATAAATGGAACAATCGTGGCTCCAAGTGGCTGACTCAGAAGACGATACCGTTGTCTTGTTACTTATGTTGTTTATAAAGTAAACAACAATTCACAAACCTCAGGAACGCACTTCTAAAACCTACGCTATGAGGAGAGAGCGCGCAAAATGACTCGGCTTCAAAAGCTGAAAGCACAGACGTGACAAAGAAGGGGAATGTTGCCACCCAACAGAGTCCATGTAGCGACGCAGGAGGACCGCTGAACCAGGTGAGAGAGGGAGACAGAGAAGCCTGAGACGAAGCTCAGGGCCTTTCAGGCATCAGTTACCAACATGCTTTTCATTTGCTCTTTGTCTCTGCATATTCATTCACTTACCACAGCTTTACTGCCTCCCTCACTAATCTGTTCTCACCACTTGACAAGTCACTTCATTTCATCTGAAGCCCAACATACTAGAACTGACGTCTAAGAACAATCTACAGAAATCAGGTCTCAGCTAGTTCACAAAGGCTTCAATTCGACCCATTCATGCCGATCTGAATCGCCACCCTGTCACCATGAATCATTGTCAAAAAAACAATTTCAAGTAGCCCGGCTACAAAGATGCCCACCAGAGAACACAGGGTGACACAGCAGATAATCCATGCACACAGCCAGGAGGCAGAAACTACACGGGCAGAGGCCCACCAAGATGGTTTCGGGTTTGTCTTTCAACAGTATTCTGTTGTTACTTCTCGTTTTTAAATATTTTCAAGGTTTTTCTGATTCTTGTCATTCATAACGAAGACACATTCTTTGTACCATATGAAAAAAGTTAAAACTTTTGGGACGTTTCCTGTACCACCCCCGCCCCCCCATACCTCTTCTGGGAACTCTCTGCAAATTTAAGGCTTTTTTCCGTTTTTCTTCTAATTCTACTTGTAGTTTTATTTCCACAACCTAAACACAAAAATTTAAATAAAAAACATGTTATTAAGGATGTAAATGATGTAACTTCTGAATATCAAAAGCATGAAAAGGCACAGATAGAGTCTAACAACACACCTGTCCAACCTCATTTCAAAAATCCTTCACAAAAAAAATTCAAGTGTGGTGGTTTTTATTTGCTTTGTATCTAGCTACATCTTTTCCAGACTCTACAAAGGCACTGAGACGAGGAGGAGGAAGGCGGCAGGGAGCAGGGATGGAAGAGGAGGAAGGTAGAGGGGAAGAGGCCCAGTTAAACAGAGGGAGAGGGGGGCACTGTCGAGAGGCAAGTGGCCTCTGATGACGGTGCCAACACTGAGGAAGGGCCACCTGGACAGCCTGGCCTGGCTCTAGCATTACTGACCAGGCCCTGGCTTACAGCTGACCAGGACCGTGAACAGAAAGAGAAGGAATAAGCCTGCCCTGCACCTTCTCACAGCCTCTTGCACACACACATGCATGCACGCATGCACCTTCTTTTCCAAGAATGTGGCATGCACGCCCCACTCCAAGCTCTCCCCTCAGTCCCACTTCTCAGGAGCAGCTCTGCAGCGGAGGCGGCCCAGGGCTCCAGAGTGTTACCTGCTCAATGTTTGACCAGAAATACTCAATCTCCCGAGCAGTGGAGGCCGCGATCCGCCTCAGCCGGCTCTGCTCCTCCTTCCTCCCTCTCTCCTCACGCAGCTTTTTCTCTTCATGGTGGCGTGCGACAGTTCTGACCAGCTGTGAACACAAGGCCAAGAGTTGTGCATCCTGCTATGTCCTGCTACAGGTTGTTAGCCAGCTGCCCAGCCTCATGCCCCCTGGGTTGCATGGGCAGAGACCACTGCCCACCCACAGTGCCTTGGCTTCTCTAGAGGGTTTGGAGACACCTTGCTGCTCTCCTCTCCCAGTGTGTGCACTATGAGCACCGCCCTACTGCACAAACGTTGACCAACACCATGACTTGAGTGCATATCATGAGTGCGGTGAGTGGTGCTCACTGCGAGGTCTGAAGTGCGGTGTTGAAGAGCAGGCCGGTCCCTGAGACCCTGGTCACACTGTTTCCCAGGCACTCACACCCTTCACACCCCACGGCAGTGCCCAGCGACGTGCTGAGATGGGCGTGACAAGTGCCAACACAAGGCTGTCCTGCACCTGCCAGCAGGGGTAGTACGCAGCCCCCACACAAACATCCACTGGAGACCCATGTGAGAGTGGGCTGGGAGACCATATCCCATCTCCACACGGCCTCTCTGAAAAACTCCTTCAAATCCCAACACGGCAAAGGCGCCTGGGCACCGTGGCCACCTGCAGCCCACACACCTTCTTGGCAGCGGCCACCTTCCACCTGCGCTCCTGGGCAAAGTCCGTGGCCATCCACTGCATCTCCTCCAGCAGCGAGTCCCAGTGCGCCCGTGGCCGAGGTGCCTCCTGCAGCTTGGGCAGCCGCCTCGGCGACCACAGACCCTCCTTCCTCAGCTCCGCGACACGCTGCTGGACCTGGTTCTCCTGCAAGAATGGGTCAGCATGCCCCACCCGACCAGGTTGTGTACCAGCCCCTCAGACAACCCACATCTGAACCCGACTAAGTGTGGGCATGACAGAATGAGAGGGGCGGGGCTGCCTGCAGGGAGGGCTGCTCTCAGTTTGGTTGCTAAATGCTCACACTCAGGGAAAGCAGTAGTAAGGTTGGGAGCGAAGGAATTCCACATTCTCATCCCTGCCCCGCCCACAGGCCCTCAGGATCTGAACTGCAAGCCACACCAGGCTTCCTGGGGCTACTTCATTGTCTCTTGTGCTTGGGTGGCTCCAGAGAGCCTGTGACTGGGCCGAGGTCAACACAAATGGCAAGGGCTTCGGGAAACAGAGATGGGGAAGAGTAGGTCCACGTGGCACCTGGTGAAGCCAGCTAAGCCAGCCCTGCCTTTTTCCATCTCCCCCAGAAGCTGACAGAACCGTGGGAGCTGCAAGCCAGCTCTCCCTCCCAGATGTCAGCCCCGGAGCTAGCAAGAACTCCCTCTGGACACCTGCGCGGCCAAGGAGGTATAAACTCCTCGGGGCCAAGCTCCCTACTGGAAAGGTGGGGGTCTGTCCACGAACTCACCAGTGTTACCTGCTCTGCTAGCTTCTCCTGGGCACTGTCCTGAGACGCAGCCGCACTCTGAGCCGGGCTTTGGGCCTTAGGGGTTGCTGAGGCTGCTGTCCCTGGAGACCGGGACGTGACAGGAGACAGTGACTTGTTGGTAGCTGAAGAGGGTCTGTTTACCGGTGAGGCCCTTGCAGGCGAGGGTCCAGGGCCTGAGCCACTCACAGGAGTGAGGGACGAGGTAGAAGAGGAAGTGGACAGAGGCCGTTGGCCGGGTTGGACAGCATCCATGGGGGGCCTCGTCAGTGTCACAGTCTATAAGGCAGAAAACAAGACAAATGACAGACCCGGCATGCACTAAGGTCAATGCAGCCAACAGCTTCCTGTCCATAATGACTTAGTGAGCAAAGCCCCGTGCACCCACCACCACCGCACTCCTTATACTTTATTCCACACAACCAGAGACGAGCTCTTAGGACCAGGAGCCCTTGCTCCTCTTAACCCTCTTCTCTGAAGGGCAGGTACAAGTCCTGGGCCTCCTGGTGGTGGGCTGGAGGGCAATGTCTATGTGCGGCCCAGATCACAAGACCCCTTCCCTGAAGACACAACATGAACACCACAGAACTTCTGCTGGAGGTGGGGGCGGAGGCTTAGAGGGCAGTAAGCAGTGGGCTCTAAGAACTGAGGGTACTGGCGAACGGCGCCAGAGTGCAGCCAGAACCCGGAAGACTCCTCGGCACGCCCGAGGAGCCCTCTCCTGGTGTGTGGGGATGGCTCTCCTCACAGCCAAGGTCAAGGTTCCTTAGCTGTCACCCATTGCAGGTCTGCAAATACAGGCAGACTGGCTCTCAGCCACACCTGCTCAATGACACAAAAGAGCTAGTGGCCTACAAAGCCTAAGATATTAGCTCGCTGGCCACTGACAGAAGTGAGCAGACCCAGCCTACCTCCAAGCAGTAGGCTTCACAGATGGAAAGAGCTGCTTTAAAATCCTCTCCAACAAAAGGATCTACTACACAGAGACAGCAGAGCCAGGAGCGGAGTGCATCCCTGGGCCCTGGGGACCCTGCACTGTGAAGCTCCCTGATGCCAGGATGCACAGGGATCTCAAGAGGCAGGCTGGGCCTGCATATGTGGAAAGGAGGCAAGGACCTTTCTCCAGAGCTGCTGCTCTGAAATCAGACTTAGAGTCTCTCAAACTGGAAGAAAATAAAACTGTAAACAGCAAAAACAAGTCAATCGACAGAAATAAAATAAGCTTCAACTTTCAAATAAGTGGTCTGATGGTGAGCTGCAACTCAGGGCGACCACAGACACAACAGACGCAAATGTTGCGAGGCCCTGCACTATCCTCAAAATCAATAATGTGCACCAGCCCATTGCAGTGGCCACTGGGTGATTTGAATATGAATGTCTTTGAGCTTCAGGGGTTCATCTTCCAGCACTCGACTGGACAATATTCTGCTGTGACCATGAGGGTTTTCACTGTCCAGTGGGGACCCTGCTGGTATATGAACCACTGGTGGCATAGCTTCCAGTATCTCAGCCACACACAAGTCACCACTGTGTGACACCCTGACAAAGGGGGGTGGCCTTTAAAACATTACAGGTAAATAAAACACCACAGGTAAATAAATCACTACAGGTAAATAAAACACCACAGGTAAATAAATCACTACAGGTAAATAAA